TACAAATGGCAACTAGTAAATTCCTATTATAAGTTAATTTTCTCATCTATAAAGCATTCCTGTAAACCAGTAAAACAATAGAAAAACAGGTAAAGAAAGCACATGGACAGTCAAGAAAAGGGCACCTGCATGGCTCAGTGGATGAAGAAGCCCACCAACCTGTTTTGTAACATGAAAAATACAAATTAAAATTATCTGCATACTATTTTTTTACCTATCAGATTTTCAGATATCCAAAAATATGCTAACACATTCTACAAGCAAGAGTGCAGGGAAACAGGCACTCTCATATACTGTAAATGGGAGCATAAACTGGCATTACCTGAGCAGAGGGCAATTTAGCAATATCTACCAAAATCACAAATATACTTACTCTTCCTCCCTCCAATTCCATTTCTAGGAATTTATCCTATAGATATACTTGTACACGTGCAAAATGACAAACTGCATCACGATCTGTATAGCAAAAGACTGAAAACAACATAAAAGTCCCTAATCAGAAGAACTGACCTTTGGATAATGGAATACTAGGCAGTTATTCGTGCACTGGGGCGGGAGCAACGGGGGTGTTCCTCAGCCCAGCCTGCACCCTCTCGCAGTCTGGGAGCCCTTGGGGGATGTCTGACTAACGGCTTAGACCTGCTCCCCAGGAGTGGGGGAGGTTGGGGCGGGGCAGCAGGTCTAAGCCAGCAGTCAGACATCCTTAGCACTGCCCTGGAGGCAGGAGAGGCTCCCGCCACCGCACTCACCAGCCGTGAGCCTTGCTTCTGGCTGAGCAGCGGTCCCCCTGTGGGAGTGCACTGACCACCAGGGGGCAGCTCCTGTGTTGAGCAACTGCCACCTGGTGGTGGTCAGTGCACATCATAGGACTGGTCGTTTGGTCAATTTACATATTAGCCTTTCATTATATAGGATATGAAAAGCTCAAGATATAATGTAAAGTTAAGAAAGCAAAGTGCAGAAAGAAGCATGTATAACATGCTATCCTTCAGGTTAAACAGAAGCTAGAAAAACATACATTTGCATTTGCCTGTATACACATACAATATTCTTGAAAAGACATACAAGAAACTGCAGTTGCCTATGGGGAGGAGTGGTGGGTAGCTGGAAGCAGAGCTGGGAAACTTTTCATTTTATGTCCTTTTCTATTTTTAAAAATTTTGAATGATGAATATATTTCAAATTGTAAGATTTCAGATTACAATAGAAGAAACAAAGTAAACAAAATAAAGCAAGAAAATAACTGTAAATAAATTATGGCAACAAGATCTGGGCCAGAGATAAACAGGCAAACTCGGTAGTTAAGAGAAGAGGTGGATTGCAGTCAATTCCCAGCAGAACGAAAGAACAGATTACTGAACATGCAGCTTATAAGTACTTAGAAAGAACGAAATGATTGCTACTGAGGTTTCACTAAGAACAGGACATGAAAAATTAATCTTAATTTTCATTGTCTGATAAGGATACCAAGAGTGGCAAATTGGGACATGCCACAGACAAGAGAATATCTTGATTATTTTAAGGCATCTGACAAAGTATTACAATATCTTGTAAATGAGACAGAAAAATGTGGACTTCAGATGTGAACACCCAGCCCACACTACTACATGAACCAAAATCGACACAGAAGTCCACAGTAACCTACCACAAGGCTTGATACAATGTCCTGATTCACCATTTTGTTAGTAATGCTGAGGAAGAGAGAAATCATGTTCACTAAGTTATTCGACAACGTAAGATTGAGAAAGAAAAACTGACTAAAAGTTCAAACAGATGTTGAGAGGCAAGAACTAGGAACTATACACTATTAAGAGAAAATTTAATAGAAACAAACACAAACCTGCTTTCGTTTTCAAAAGATTCAAATTGCACAAGTAATTACAGGATGGCAGAGTCCTGATTTATTAACAATTTCCAAAGAATTTTAAGTTACTAAAAATTCAGTAGTGGTTTCTGAAAAAGCTGCTGAAATCTTAGGCTAAACCAACACTGTCTAAAGCACCACTGTACTATGCACTGGACAGTTCTCACTTGGAGTTTTTCACTCTGTTCTGGCCCCCGCAAAACAAAAAGGGAGGATGAGCAGAAATGACAAGAATTTGGAAACCATACCAGTAAAAGGAAAAGTCAGGCCTAAAGAGAAAGATTTAAAGGGAAATGGCAGTTTATCTTCAAATAGCTGGAGGACTGTCACTTAGAAGAGGCATTGTTAGACTTATTGTATGGTGATTCAGAGGTAGAACTAGGACCAATAGGAGGAAGTGACAACTTGGTACAAGAGAGATTTTGACAAGAATTTAGCAGTGATGGATTAGGCCATTTAATCACAGTGTGACCTATCATCAGAAGTATTCGAGCAAATGAATGGGATAAGATTCTCGCCAGTGATAAATCCAGTAAGGGGTTAATGTTCAACATTTATAAAGAACTCATATAACTCAACACCCAAAATAACCAACAATCCAATTAAAAAATGGGCAGAGGACCTGAATCAACAATTCTCTAAAGAGGACATACAGGTGACATATGAAAAGATATTCAATGTCACTAATCATCAGAAAAATGAAAATTGAAACCATAATGAGATATCACCTCACACCTGTTACAACAGCGATCATCAATAAATCAACAAATAACAACTGTTGGCCAGAATGTGGAGAAAAGGAAACCCTTGTGCACTGTTGGTACAAATGCAGATTGGTACAGCCACTATGGAAAACAGTATGGCGGTTCCTCAAAAAATTAAAAATGAACCTGCCTTATGACCCAATGATTCCACTTCTGGACATATATCCTAAGAATGAATCCACAAATACCAACCAGAAAGAATATATGCACCCTCTATTTTCAGAGCTAAGATCTGGAAGCAACCCAAGTGTCCATCAATAGATGCGTGGATAAAGCAGCTGTGTGTGTGTACATGTGTGTGTGTGTGTGTGTGTGTGACACACATATACATACACACAAAGAATACATACACACATGTATGTATGGCCTCGCTCAAGGCAACAAAGTTTCAATTATAGAAGATAAATAAATCCCAGATACCTGCTTCCAGCCAGTCTCCACTGGGAGCTTGGGTGGCTGGGGGCTGTGGCCAGCCTGCAAAAAGCCATCAGCCCCTCATCCAGGCTGGCCAGGTACCCCAGCAGGGACCCCCACCCTGAAGGGGCTGTGGCCAAATTGCAACAGCCATCAACCCCTCACCCAGGCTGGCCACACCCTCATGGGGTGAGTGTCCCTGCTGGGGGTCTTGGCCAGCCTGAAAACAGCCATCAGCCCCTTACCCAGGCTGGCCAGGTGCCCCAACAAGGACCCCCACCCTGAAGGGGCTGTAGCCAGCCTGAAAACAGCCATCAGCCACTCACTCAGGCTGGCCAGGCACCCCAGCAGAGCCCCCCTCCCTGAAGTGAGTGTGGCCAGCCTGAAAACGACCCTCAGCCCCTCACCCAGGCTGGAC